GCGATGGAATGCGGCAGGTAGTGAAACGGTGACTACGAAGGCCAGCAGCTTCCCCGTTCCTGCTTCTGAGCAGGAACGGGGAAGGGGGGATGAGGTTGAACAGCTCCTCAGAGCACTCACCATGGTACATGCGGTAAAAGGCGCTAAGCGATGCAACATCTCTACGCAGTTGCAGAGGTTGTAATTATTAATATGTGGCCTGTATTTTGGTCTGCAGGAAGAAATTTCTTTTAGAAATAAGCAGTACCTTTTGTTTGTGTTCTACATTTTACTGAATATGATTTGTGTTTTCTTATGCAATAAATAGATATCTAATTTATACCAGGGGTTCTCTAATACCGAGTACTTACCGACCATTTCGTCCTTGAGTCTAGGAACAGCCTCAAAGCGCTGAACCAAGCCGCATGGGCCAACACAAAGTACAGCCACGTGTGCAGCATCAGTCTCTCCTTGTGGATGAGTTTCATAATTATGTAGAACATCATGTAGAGGATCGTGTTGCCCATCAGGATTGCCAGAACGTGGCGGGCAAAGTCCTTGTTGTGCTCGTACATGCTAGGCAAGTCCAATAACATAATTTGAAATTTTAAAGCGATTCCAATCCGCATCGGGCTCGCGTGGGAAGTACAGCCCAAGCCCTCTCACTGTGGTATAATATATAGTACGAAATTGATATTGTAAATAGATATTGTACGAACGATCCATCACACACCGCCTGATGGCATTGACCTACTTTTCAATCGCGAAGTACCGATTTTCCTCAAAAGAGTGACTACCAAACATGAGGTGCTTTGATATCAAATCTAAAGCTAAATTATATAATTTAGTTCGCATCTAGTACTGCTTTCTTATTTGAAACACTTTCAACATTAAGCAGAAAGTGAATACTCGGAACAACCTACTGCGCCGCCGTATATCTTGGAAGTGAGCTTCGTCACAAACTTTGCGAACGACTGAACTAGCCCTTCCCTTTTTGGCTGGCGAATACTCCAGCCCGGTTCAGCACACCTGGTGACTACAGCACTAAATGACACATATCGAATTATCACAGGATGTCTGAAACCAACCCGTCGGTATGCTGTATCCGTTGGTGTTGCCCTCCCGGACGTTCCGTAGAAACGTGGCTAGACCATCACGTCCCGGTAATCCAGAGGCTGAAGAATCGAGATAGCTTCATTAAAGAAGTATACCCTCTGGATGGGGAAACTAACCAGGTCCGAATAAGCCTCTGGAAAGAGAGATACCCCACGGCATCACCGCTATCGGAGTACCTCCTCCCTCCTGGGCATCATCTACCTTGGCAAACTTGGAAGTCTCTAAATAGGCTGCGGAGTCAAGTAGACTGAAGCAAGGAGAGCATGCACGGATGGGGTTATAGCTCGGAAAGCGCATGTCTGTGTGGTATCTCTCCCCAGATAATGGTACATCTTTCGTCCTGCCCTGCCTGCCTACAACGCCACTGTTAATGCTGTCTCAGGCGCTAAGTACTGGTCCTCACGAATATAAACGTCAGAGTGGGTACGCCAAGAATAAGAAGATTTGAAACACTGCTTTGGATCGGTAATACCTAGTAAATATTATAGTCTATCTTTTTTGAAGACGGAGTAAAATGACATTTATAGGGTTGTCAGTTTTCATAAAATTTTAAATAGTCATGTAGTTGTTGTCGATAGTTTTATCGATAGATTGTGAAGGACAGTCATTTTACTCCATATTCAAAAAAGACAAGACTATAGTAATAAGATATTTCGTCATATACAAAAAACTTACCCAAAAGCAGCCAATGCCCAGTTAGCGAGGTTCGCCACGGCTAGTAGAACTGCTCTGGCCAAGTATTTGGGGACGAACGCTCGGCGACCGTGTAAGCGAAGGCCGTTGAAAGCGGTTGAGAATATCGACCACTCTGTAATGTGTACAGTGTTCAAGCCTTTGTGTTCCTTGCAGCCATCGACTATATAACCAGAAATAGAAACGAAATAAGGGCCATCCATCCCTGGCACTCATCAGGCAAATGGGCCATATGTCACTTTTAAATATCAACTCTCGTTTGCGCTGAAATCACAAATTAGAAAGCTGAAATAGTAAAGCGCCAACAACTGACCTGTGTCTCTGTATATCCCAAAAATATTCTGTATTTATTGTAGTGGAGACATTGACCTACCAATAAATGGAGGTCGGGTTCGCGCTTAAAAGTGTCCGCACTTGTAGGGCGTTAAAATCGCATACAGAGCGTCAATCGCGCAACAGTCTTCGTTTGTTCGACTGGCAGCGCGGTTGTCAATCATGCAGTACCAATAACAATAACTTGTAAAAATTACTGCAATAAAGTGTAAAAACAGGATTTTGTATCATATTTTCACTAAACAAATATATTGTTATCATAGTTCTCATTTAAAAGTGTTATTTTGTACAGTTTTATAGTATTTAATTTATATATAAATGAATCGTAAATATAAATTACAAAAGCACACAAAATAATCAAATAGCTAACTGTCCTTTTTCTACACATTGCATGCGCAAAAGATGGAAAAGAGACCCATTACATCAGTTTCAAGAAGCTTATATAAACTTCTTGGTCATTTTCAATTGTTCGAACCACAAGCGATTGAAATATTTAGAACAAAGAAACTATCGAGTCGCATTGATTTTAATCTTATTTTTTAAATATATTTTTTTTATTAAACCTTAGCAATAACTAACAAAATATTGTTGTGCTCATTTTACGGCTTGGGATAACATATCAGAAGTCAGAAAATACATTTGCCCGAAATAACGTTAGCTCGAATTTTCATAATGTCAAATGTATTTTTTTAGGAAGATTACAAAACAAAAGCTAATTTTGTTGTTGTGAAAAGCATCAAAATTACTCGAAGGCGTAACGGATTTATTATAAATCGGTTTTCGGAATTACGGATATTCGAGTTTAAGTTTAGTTGGAATATCGGTACATTTCTTATAGTACACGCTTATTTTCACATTTGTAGTAATATTGGAATGTTTGTATCTCCAACCCTTAGTTATTTCTTTAAGTGAATTTGTACAAAATTCGACATAATAATATATATAAAAAAATTAGTTAATATTTACGAGAAAGGCTATTATTCCATTACTCTTGTGTTCAAGTAATATTCAGTCAAAGCTAAATATGGTGCATTTCGTTAAGTTTCCAGAACAAGCTGAATATGGTGTTTTCGGGCCCTTAAATTGTTGCAAGCAAAATTAGGCAGTACTGCAATGACGTTACAATTTCAATTTATTTAGTTTTTTTATATTTCGTTACATGTCACTACGTGTGTATAGGTTAACTTCGGCCATTTTTTTGTGGTTTTTGTATTAGATCCAATGTCCATTTGTTGGTAGGTCAATGAATGAAGATAATAATCTCTAACTATGGGGGACTGTTCAATTCGGTGGTGTGGGAAAAACAGCAAAACATCTAATTGCAAAATAATCGGAATAACATTTTATCGGTAATTAAATATGTAATTTTTAAATTTTCGTCCATTATAGCAAATCAAACTTGCACTAAACTGATCGATTTGAAGTGAAACAATTGACGACACCCGTCATCTGTTTTGAATTCTGGCTGGCCAATCGAAGCGCAGTTGTCACCGTAATGATTTGGCAGAATGGTTTTCAAATAAGTTAAATGGCATTTCGTCTCTATTTCTAGGTACATACTCGATACTCGTAGCAAATAAACCACCTTATAGTCCTGTGACTTTGCTCACCCATTTTAAACCGGCCGACGTAGTAGATTTTCAACGTGAGAATGAGACACGTGGCGATGTGCGCGATCGTGAACACCACCCAGAAGTACACGCTCGGGTACATTATCCCGAATAGACCTGTTACCAATGACAACTCAAGTAAATTTATTGCTTTCATAAAGCAAATTACGTATACTGCATGTATGAAATACGCTGACGCTACCCTGTATACAAGCTACACAGTAGGCTATCGACGATCGCTGACACAGCCCTGTACTTTTACTGAAAACTGGCGCAATGACGGAAACGCCGACGCTGCGGCACGTGTAAGCTGCCGCCTCATGTCCACGGTCGCCGGGGCGAGCCGCGGGAACGACATCGGCCGGCACTTCGTATCTTGCATCGATCGGGTCAATAGCTATAATTTTTATATTGTAATTTTCTATTTTTAATTAAAGTTATTTTAACAATTTCGGTTTTTTTTAAGTCCTGCGGCTGCAACCTTCGTAATTAGCATCTCAATTAAAATATACAATAAAAACAAACATGTGGTAAGTAGTTCAGTTTATCTTCTAAATACACCCTCAGACAATTTTTTTTATCACATGTGGTTTAAGATGTTTGGTGAACAGATTGCGATGTATCAGTGACAAAATATGATTCTGTTATAGGTTTTAAAAGCTATTATACAAGGTCCAAGTTATTATATTTGTAATTTCAAGTTTTTTTTATAGTGAGGATTAGGCTCAATTTATATAGCGACGGAACGGAATGAAAGTGAATTTTTGTGACGGTATTGTACATAGCACAATGAACTTTATGGTCAATTACGTAACGTATACACTAGATACGACGGAAGATTTTGGGTCGTATCTAGTTTAGTAGCAGTAGAGCTCGTTGTGAAAGAGTTCGTCCAGGATAGTACTGCCACCTTTACTTATTTCTGCCAAGCAGTAATGTCAGCGTTACTGTGTTCCGGTTTAGTAGGGTAAGGGTGCTGGAGAAATTACAGGCACATGTCAACTTATGTCTCAGGGTGACCTGCGATGTTTGCAATTTAAAGCTCTGAGTGGCACTGTAGCTGTTATGGACAGGCGTGTAGCTTACCATCAGGCGCACGACTTGTTCGTCCCGTCACTTGATATTATAAAAAAAAAATTGCCAAATCTATAATTGTTGTGTTGTAAACCATACTTATATTGTATTTATTTCCTCGCAAATGTGTTGAGAAACTATGTAAAACTACGTATGTATCACAGACGGTAAAAAAATACAAAACTCGAGCTATTAAAGCCCTCAGTGTTTGGCTTCGGGCTTCTAATAGACCCTCGTTGGTAATTTCTTATTTACCTACTACTACTTCTTTTGAAAGACATAAGTGACAGCGACAGTTGTTTGCGAAACCGAGTCAGCGTTCCCCGCCCCGTTCAGTACTTATTATCCAATAATGAGTTTTTATTCCACTATATAAGTTTGTTTTAAGTTCGGCAGAAAAAATTTAATCCTTAATATCTTATTTGTGTAAATCACCACTTATTTTGAATTTTGTTCTAAGCCTTTGTCTTTTTTGTTGTTGTAATAGTTATAATGTTTTCGATTGAAGGACATTGTTTCCAGGTCATGCAATAAATAAAAAATAAAAAAAACACTTACCAATAGCCATAATAAATGCCAGCAACATAAATGTGGCGTGCGCGCTGGCGTTCACGTCGGGGTGCCTGTTCTGGTAAAGCTTTACCATGCACAGCACCGCTATCACGTACATGAACGATGAATCTGTCGAATAATGGTGATAATAATGTTTATTTACAATCAAAATATACGTATTATTTTAAAAATACTAAAATTCGCCAGGTCTATAATTACTAACATCGTAAACAACAACTTTTGTTTCATAATTTTTAATAATTCATAAAATTTTACTTTCATATAAAAATAAAAATATTTAAATAAGTCGTTCTAAACGGTGATAGCTCTGTGTGGTACCTTACTAACCGACTTCAAAAAAAGGAGGAGTTTCTCAATTCGATTGTATTTTTTGTATGTATGTTACGCGATAACTCCGGCGGCATTTAGATTGTGAACTGGCCATCGGTACTATCTCAATTTTGACAACTATACTGGATGAAGAAAAAAATTATTTGCGTCATTTATATAGCATCTGGTTTATTAAATAAAAAAGATTCTATATAAATGTTTTTTTCTTCATCCTGTAAAGTTGTCAAAATTGAGATATTACCGGTTGCCAGTTCACAGTCGATTTGTGACCCGATTTTAATGAATCTTTTTTGTTGGAAAGGTGGTAGGTACCTCGTGGTCCCATTTAAATTCAGAGAAAATATTTCACCCTAGAAGTGGCAAACTAACAGATGGATCCGGTGTCGCGCACTTTCCGGTAACCGATTTCAATAAAACTTCAAAAAGATTTAATTCCACGCACTTTTGAGGTCGGTTTTTTTTAGTAATTTGTACAGAGATTATTACCAAATGCAGATCAAAAACTTGTCAGATAGTACAACAAATACTTAATTTTTTTTTTGGTGTGTTTATAGCCGTTTCCTCATGCTCCCACTTGGTGCTCCTCTACTGGTAGGACCAAAAGGATAAATATATACTCGTTCTCCGACTAATGTACTGTCACCTGTATTTATATGTAATTGATATTGTAATACTCGTTATGTTATCGATTGTCTAAGTTTATCAGATTATGTTTTGTAAAAAAAAGAAAAAAGAAGAAAAAAGTTTAAGTTTATGTGAGTAATAAATCTCTGAGAAGTTGTGTTACAAATGACTCTGTATAAGTAAGTTATATGTTTGTCTAGGCGCTACGACGTCGAATTCCGGATACCACCCTGTTACACCATACCATACCATGACTATATAAAAAACCAATTAGGCACAGATTTACTAGATAAAACTTAAAATTAAGTCGTAAAGAAAGGATTACATAATACGAGTAATGCTAACACGAATAATAACAGGAATATGTCGTCTGTTTAAAGGTAAAACCGTATAAGTGACATTTTCCGCAAAAAGTCTTTAATTTATATAGCTATCGCAAGAAAATCGCTATCTTTCTGCATGTGGAACTCAATAACAAAAAAGCTATAAACTTAGTAAGAGTTTCATCTGCAGAAAGATGGTGAATTTCTTAAAACTGGTACATAATTTGGAGATTTTTCGTGGAAAATGTCATTTATGTGGTTTTACTCTTAAGGAGACGATATACAAAATTGACAATTTTTTAAATGGTGATAGGGGGACTCAATTTCTTATAAGAATGATTTAATTGTACTGGAAGCTCGTTGAATTTAATAAAATGTTTATTGGTAGGTTATGTTGATGAATGATTTTTTTTTACTAAATTTGACAAACTTTTGAGGTTCCGATTTTTTCGTACCATACAATCAAATCATCCTTATAAGAAGCCGAGTCTATAAGCATTAAAAAATAGCCATTTTTTCGTCATTTTGTATGAAAAAAATTTTGTGAAATTTGAGCATATTCTACTATCCAGATTTTTTACGTCCCATAAAATGAAATGATCAGCACAAAAAAAATTCATCAAATTTTATTAATTTTTAAAGACAACTCACGCTTGACCAAAAAATCATTTATGACAAAATTGTTTTCATAAAAAAGGGTTAAGACAGTTTCCTTGTATCTTCTATGGTTTCGGATTTCCCCATACCGTCCCATTTAAAAAAAATGCTGTATAAGTAAATGTTCATTACGTGTGAATAAAACTTTAATTAAATAATTAAACTGCCTCCGTGGCCGAACGGTTACCATGCCGGACTGCCATGCAGAGGTCCTGGGTTCGATTCCCAGGCCGGGAGAAATATGTGTATGGCCTACATTTATTTCTCCCGTGAGTTTGGGTGTAATTTGTGGTTGTCTATGTGTCTGTCCATGGCACCCGCGACACAGGGTTTTCCCTAGTGCGGGGCTATGTTGAGTGTGTGCGTTATTATTATTATTATTATTAATAATATGAAAATGACAATGAATACTAATCGTCAATCCTCGTAGAGTACAAAAATATATAAGCAATTAAAAAACGTAAACAATGTGTGAGTAGACAAAGGGTAAGTTCGTAAAAACCAACCAAAGCGAACTTGAAACGACGTTATAAAGAAAGATCACTTCAAGAGTACTCTTAACAGAAAACCAAGCACGAAAGCATTGGCGCGTGAAAGGCTGAGACCTCTACCTACCCCGGTGGGAAAACGGCGATAAAAATATGTATGTAACTATGTGTGCATTAAATTCGATTAATGTTGTGATTAATTATGGAGTGCACATTTTTATGTATCAAGACGTTTCAGCTATTATATAAATTATGAGCTTAATACTTAATGTGATTTGGTTTGCCGATCGATTGAATCAGAACATAACATATACGAAATACACAAACACATTATACACTTTCATATTAGGTACGAAATAAAACAAATTTATCTTTTTTCATATAAATTACAAATACTCATATTTGGAGCCAAATACGCCATTTGTTTGGTGCCACATTATTTCCTTTTTTCTAATGTTCCCAAAAATTTATTTTACGTATTTTGTCAGTTTATTATTGATAATGCGATACGTTGTTTTCTTTAAGGGACCATCTGGGACACAGTAAATTGCCTCAACAACAATGTATTGTTGTTGACTTAGGCACTATTAAGTTTATAGAACAGTTTCAACTCTTACCAAACTGGAAGTTCATCTTATTGGGGCAAAGGTGGTAACACCCGGAGAGCAGCCCCTCCATCACTAGAGCTAGTCCCATCGAGTAGAACAGGCCCCAATGCTGAGGGATGCCTATGTCCTACGGCGCAAAATATTTTTTCATTAAATATAAAAATATCTTGTCACTTATTAATAAAATAGTAACATTAAAAAATTAAATTAAATGCTTTGTGACCCCTGCCATGTTAAGTAGCAACACACCTTACGTATTGAATAATTTTCTTTCAAAGCTCATAAGGCTTATATGCCTAGCTAACTAAACTAAATATATATTGCCAACCTCATTTTAAAAGGTTGAAAATTTTAACTCTACCATCGTATAATGTATATCACACTGTGTTTAGGAGAGCAGAATTGTAATAGCTACGAAGGTCTACCACAAACTTCGATGTGAGGATGTGCAATAATAGCAGAATTTCATTTAATTACCGAATGATATTACGTTCTGCAATATTGAAAATTTTTAATAAAATTTTATTACATGTATTCTAGACAAACTTATTAAATATATTATAGCTATATTTTATTTTTGTAATTATGTTTTATTAGTATTAGGTTGAGGAATAGCGAATAATGCTCTGGCCACACAAATTTTTGTAATGTTCGAGTTCATATGAATCCTGCCACACTGAAATACGCGGCAGCCGGGCCACGGGCCGTACGCAGGGCGGATGCGGACCGGGAGTTGCATTCCATTGAGTTCAATTCAACCGTCCACACAGAGAAGCAGCGGGCGCGGTCCGGGAGCAGGGCTCTAGCGAGACTTTAGGGGGCTTGGACGTTGTATAACTCTTTGAGTGTATTTTTATTAAGTTTAATATAAGTTCGACCGAAATTTCTGTTGCGTTGCTTCTGTAACGCTAATAAAAGCAGATTTTTTCTTGATCTTTATCCGTCATCGATGTGGAGCTTTCTTTAAAATCTGTGTAGAAAATGAAACGTGGTTGCTTGGCCGCCTTCGCGCCGCTATTATGCCGCGAGCTACGTTTGGGACTGCTGTGTGACACGCCCCGGTATGCATTCGCTTCCCGTAAGCTAGCCCCCGGACCACTTTTCCCGCAGTACCGTGTGTGGCCCGATCTTAATTGGACTGCAAGATTATATTGAATTTACAAAATGTTGCACGGAAATAATTTAAAAACTATGAAAGCCTTGTCGCATGCCGCAAGGCGGATCACAGTGATTCAAATTCATTCTTGTAACGCTTTTACAACCTGTGTAAAGAAATAAACTATTTAATTTGTTATCTATAACATAGGTACGGTGAACCAATCCCATTCAAATTTGAACTTTACGGGTGGCTCACACCTAACCGAGCAATATAAAGTAGTCAAACCAACCTGATTATTCTTCATTCTCCGCTGGCGAAGCCTGGTCTGCAACATGAAGACCAGGCCCAATAAAACGTAGCCAGCGTTGGAGATCACGTGGTTGAAGTCAGATAGGAAGCCCAGAGGATGAGCGCAGAGAAAGTTGTAGTAGCACAAGTCTTGGTTGCCAGTTTGGAACACTATCTGGGGGTAATTATTGGTGAGAATTGGTTTTTCGAATATTTCAACCCAGGTTTCAGTACGATTCTGTTACTAAATGTTACCAGTGAAAAATTAAAAATTTATCTTCAAGTCACAGGTACCTTTCGTTACAAAGACTTCAACTGTCGACTTTTTCATTGAGAAGCAACCCACCTAATTAGCACTACCACCGCTACGTCGGACAAGGTTTACGAAATTTCTATGAAGAATATGAAGTTCCAACGAGTGTGGAGGACTATGGCCTGAGCCCTCCAACAGTGAAACGCGTAAGGGTTCAAAAATTAGTGGAATTACATCTATTTGCCAAGTTTTATTGAAATCGGTTACCGGAAAACGCGCGAAACCGGATTTATCCCCTAGTTTAACATCCTTAGAGGTGGAATATATTCTTCAAATTTAAATGGGACCAATACTGAGGTACCCTCTTTCCAACAAAAAGAGTACGAAAAAGGATTCACAAATGAGTTATTCCGTAACATATGTACAAAAAAAATACAGTCAAATTGAGAACCTCGTCCTTTTTTGAAGTCGGTTAAAAACAATGCATTGCAATTACGTTTAAGTGCATTCAAAGTTTGCTTATAGTTGGGAGCAAATAATTGTAATAAACTGGGACATTGACAAAATAGATTTTAATAAAACGGACGCGGCACCAGCCTAAAGGTTTGCCATTCAGCTGGAGCCACATAAGAAAAATTCTACATGATATAAAATATATATATTAGTTTTTTGTTAATACATCAAAGCAATTGCCTTGGCTTCCACTAAAATTGCACAATCTACGAATTACTCAACCATTATTCACCCGAAGTGCATGAAATTTGGAAACTACTAAGTTCGACATAGAATAACAAAACTTTCTGAGGTAACCAATGATGGCATAGGAAAAGAATATTTCTTGTAAATAATTTATTTTCCTTTATTATATGTGATCAATATAAATATTAGATTAAATGCTCATTATTTAGGCTAGATGTGCCCATAGGCTCGCGTAATTGGAATTTAAATAGGCAAAATAATATAAAAGTGGGTTATGTAGAAACATCGAGTATATAATCAGAAATAGAGACGAAATAAGGGCCATCTTATATCACTTTTAAATATCAACTCTCGTTTGCACTGAAATTACAAGTTAGAAAGCTGAAATAGTACAGCGCCAACAACTGACCTGTGTGTACGTCTCAGTACATTCCAAAAATATTCTGTATTTATTGTAATAAAGATAATATCTCTAACAATGGGGGCTGTTCCATCCAAATGGAAACACATTTCATCGGTAATTAAATATGAAACATGTAATTTTTCAATTTTCGTCCATTATAGCAAAGGTCAAGTCAAACTGGTAAATTTTAAGTGAAACAATTGACGACACCCGGCAATTGTTTCGAATTCGGGCTGGCCAATCGGAGCGCAGTTGTCACCGTAATGATTTGGCAGAATAGTTTTCAAACAACTGAAATGACATTTCGTCTCTATTTCGGGCCAATTATTATAAACTTTACAATACCTATTGATATAAATGATTTATGAATAAAATATTTCAATTTTCAATCTCAATAACAATCACTCTCTTCAAATCTAATTTTAAAAAACCGACCTCAAAAGTTCGTGGAATTAAATTTATTTGTCAAGTTTTATTGAAATCGATTACGCGAAACAGGATTCATCCAATAGTTTGCCACCCTTAGAGGTGGGATATTTTATTCAAATTTAAATGGGACCAATACCGAGGTACCCTCTTTCCAACAAAATAATAATTAAAATCGGTTCACAAATGCCACGTTATCGCGTAACATACATACAAAAAAAACACAGTCGAATTGAGGGCCTCGTTAAGGAGAACGTCGGTTTTTTGAGGTTTCTTTTTTTAGGAGTCTGTAAAGAGATTATGGATATTAATTTTAATTATATTTTATTAACTTACATCTTGATACGTGATTAAAAGTTGTACAACAGGCAATGCGTACACAACAGCCACAGTCAATGCGCTCCAGAAATACCTGCAACATTAAATTCGTGTGATTGGCCGATTTGAATTTCGTACCCCATTTCACGTGATATTAAAACCATGTCATTAGCCAATAAAACTTTATTTACTACCTTTCAAGAGATGTGATTGGCTGGTTTGTATTTCGTACTGCATTTCACGTGATATGAGAGACATGCAATTGGCTAGTGAGATTTTCGTTCTGTTAACGTGAGTAAACTGTAAATGTTAATATTTCTTTTATGGAATTTCACGATGTTGTTACTATTGAAAAAGCAGTCAATTACTCCATTTGATTCCGGTACTTTAACCAACCACAGACGACTGGAAAACTTTTCATCACGAACACAACTCCGCACAGCGCACTTGCATAGATTCTTTTGCTCCCTTGGTACATTCCTTTACTTTAAATTAAATTCTACTTTGCATTATTTCGCCATGCAGGATGCAGGTCGTGTACAATCTCACCTTATTACGAAGGGACAGTTTGCTGTGCTTGTTGAGAAGGGGGTGGAGGCGGCTCATAACAAAGTGGGCGCAATCGCGGACGGTTTTCACGAGTGCTTTAAATGACAGCTTCATGTAGAGCGTAACTCCTCAAGTATTTGACCGTGTTCACCCAAGGGATCGAAAGGCCAAAGAGCGAAATCGGGCTGAGATTTTGTACCCTACGACTGGATAGGTTACTTCGCGTGACGAATACCGACACGCTTTTGTCGGGATTGACTTCGATTCTCCATCTGCAAAGCTACTCGCCTAGGCGTGTAGTGGCAGATTGGAGAACCGCGGAAACTAACTTGGAGCTGCGCGCCGAATAATAGAGCGCAGTGTCGTCGGCAAAGAGGGCGAGAGTTATTGACTGATGCTTCGGGATATCGGTAGTGTACAGGGAGAATAGGAGGGGCGACTGGACAGAGCCTTGCGAAAAGAGCGATTCAACAAGAAGTCTCGAATGATGTGCACGAGACGGTCGGGCACGCCAAGATTGTACAGCTTGTAAAGTAAGCCGTTGTGCCAGACTTTGTCGAAGGCTTTTGCCACATCGAAGAAGAGGGAGAGCGCGCTACCGGCGTGGCGGGCTTAAATACAACTGCCCTCTCCATTCTCTCTATTGAGTGGCGTTGTGTTGTAGGCCACGCCCACTACACTAAGGGTTTTCTCCTAATAAATGAATTTCATGGCCAGTTGTGTAACAGCAAAATAAAAAACAATGGATCTATTTCTACACTCAGCCAACTACCAGCAGCTGACTAGAGACGTAGCTTTATTTAATAATTGTAATTAAGTTTCTTGAACGTAATAAAATTATTTTATAATCAAACGCAGCGAGGCTTTCTGACATTCAATAATAATTATTAAAAAGCTACAACTCTGTTCAGCTGCTGGTAAATTTAAAGGTACTTGGCCGAGTGAATAAATAGACTGTCAAAGATGGCGCTAGGGCAAAAAGTCGTTAAAAACCAAAACCAATAATCTGCAACACATACAAAGAGTGGAAAAAAAAAGAGAACTGACCTGTTAGACCTCCTGCTCAGAATATCTGGTCGAGACGTATTAAGACGCGCCACAGTGAGGTTTATGGGCATCGATCGAGCCAGTTCCGGCTCAGAATCATCCTCTGTAACATTACATACGTGTGTCAGTTAACGCGACCAGACGCGGCTCAGTCCCACTTTTAAACTTCGTGTCCCGCTGTCCCCGAAATACGTATCAATGTCCCGATAATTATAATTTTTTTATAAAAAAAAAGCCGACCTCAAAAGTTCGTGGAATTACGTCTATTTGCCAAATTTTATTGAAATCGGTTACCGGATTCATCCCCTAGTTTGCCACCCTTAGAGGTGGAATATTTTTTCAAATTTAAACGGCACCAATACTGAGTTACCCTCTCTCCAACAAAAAAGAATCATCAAAATCGGTTTTAAAAAATTTCAAAAATATTTTAAAAAATAGAGTGGAATTGAAAACCTCTCCCTTTCTAAAGTCGGTTAAAAAGCAGTGACATTAACGGGTTAACCTAATTTCAATTAAATTTTTTCGCTATATTTATCTTTGTACTTGCACAAACCATCATTGTCGTCATTATTGAGAATAGGCGCATCTTCACCGTCGCCGATTCTAGTTGTAGACGGGCCTGGAAACTCTTCTGTGACCACCACTACTTCTGTTGAAATAAAATAATTACCACCCTTTGTAACAAATTTTAAAATTAATAAAATCTGATCTGGGAGTCTACTCCTGTTCCCCGTCTGACACACTTCCGAAACAATTGCTGTCAAATAAGTGATACTCAACCAAATAAAATCATTTATTCCATTAAATGTTAAAATTCAATTAATTTCAAAAACTAAATTAATTACGTAATTATGTCAATCAGAAACAGGCTTCGTCACATAAAAATTAACAATGCAATTCGCCAGACTTGGCCATTTTTATCCAACTAGTACAATAAAAAAGGACCGCTCTGAATCTTAGCTGGTTCAAACGTCCCCATAACATTGGCACCAAGTATTATATAGTATATACATTGTTGCACCAAGTAATATCCAGAGCGTGGTTCATGACCTCTATCTCTAAGCCGGCGACCCAACTCCCTGATAAATCCCTATAGTACTGTAGTCTAGGCTCTACTCTATGAGTAGAATCACTGGCTGAATGAATAGTTTTGTAATTAGAATGTGTGTTGAAAAATGAAGTAAGAAAAAGAATAGAGCATCTTGAGATATCGAAATATAACCCAACACTGTAAGCATGTAAAAAAGTGAAATAAAGTAAATTTTTAAGATTATTCCAGTTTAAATTCATAAAAGTACCTCTCGCTACGCAACCCAAGCTACGTCCCAGTTACAAATGGTGGAATTCGCCGGCTTACAAATAATGGAAGTACGAATCCCGAAGTGAAAATTTTTTATATTTTTATTTTAAAAAATCTCTGAAGCAATGGAAGATATATAGTATAACTTAAGCCTGCAAATGATGGACGCAAGCTTACGAATGATGAAAGGATCCTGATGAAGAAAAGTCCATCGTGGAAAAATGTTTATATGTTTTTATGACAAAACTTCCAGGAAAGCGTACATAAGGTCGTAATTTATATTTTTTATATTTAATATTAATTTGTAATTGATGCCAGTAAAAAGTGCAATAAAGTAAATTTTGAAGATTATTCCACTTTATATTCATAAAAGTGCCTCTCGCTACGCAACCCAAGCTACGTCCCAGTTACAGTACATACATTGTTGCACCAAGTAAGATCCAGAGCGTAGATCATGAATTCATTGGCCTCTGCACCCCAAGTCCCCGCAATATCCATTGCAATTGGCACAAAATCGTACATTGGTTCTAAGGCACTGTACTTGGCATGTTTCAATTTTGCCGCATAATCCGCAGCCGATCCGGCAGATCTGATCTGGTGGTGTGATTTAGACTGACACACGTAGCGTCCAACAAACGGCACCGACTCTTCTGCCATGGAACCAGTGTAAGAGCGTCGGTTCTCTTGCCATCTGTACGGCACAACCCCGGAGACTCCAAGACACAAGCCACGTTAGCCAATACCAAAGCAAACTCAAACTCCACCAAATTAAAAGATAAAATCAAGTATGAAACTTCATTGCCATCATGCGTCTTGTAATATGGTTGAGTATTACTCGACCCCTCCTACGCAAAGTATCGTATGTCGAAATTGCCAAGTTTACAGGCGAGCTTAAAGTTGTGAAATCACTGCAATGAGCATAACACGTGAATTGAGCTTTTCTCAGTTTTATTCGAGAACGAGTTTTAAAGAACGAGTTTTAAAGAACGAGCTTTGCGTAATAAAACTGAGAAATATGTTGTTGTTTGTTGAAATTATCACGTGTGTAGCGCGATTACTGTTACGTAAACTGCTACTCCCCCCACACCGCGCAGCTTCATCAAGAACAGACTCAGTTAAGCGGTAGGCCTGTAGTATCTGTGGTGGGAGCTTTACGTACTAAATAAAGGCACATTAAATGGGCACACTAAATTTAAATCACAATTGACAAAATGGCTTTTGACACATTGCTTTTATAGTAATAAGCAATATTTAGATTGTGCTACAAGTAATGGTCATTAATATAAATTGACATATTTTTAATAAGTTTTT